ACTGCTACTCAAGTGTCATACTATCGATTATCGATAATGACAGTTGTATATATTATCCGTGCAATCGATGACATCGATGTTATTAGTGTGTTATACACAACGATCCTGATAGATAAACTTCAAGGAAGTAATACACATTGAGTGGACAGTACCATGAGAGGGTAAAAACCACAAACGTCGAAACAAAATAATTATATTTATACTCACAATTACGAAACTTTTGTTCTAAATATACTGCCGTAGTGAAGTGATTTCTAGTTGCAATACAAGAGTTCCGAGATTTCACAGTGAGGTATTATCCACTTTATATATATCACTTCCTGGTGTTTACGTAAATTATACTCTATTTCTGATCTCTAGTTACGTTAACTAAGTAAACTTGTGAATTATCGATAGTATTTTGTCGATAATTTGCTGAACTACGGTAGTATTTATTGCTTTTGTTTAACAGTTAACGTAGCAAGACATATTGCTAACCTAACCTTGTAACCTATTTACTATCTTCATTATCTAATAGTTTAGTTTGACGTTGTTAGCTCATTTTGCACTTAAACATTAACTTTACTATTACTGGAAGGCAATACTCTATTGTCGATAATGTAATAGTTTTGCTAATTACTAGGGATGTAGCCTAACCTAATGATTTGACCTACCGCCTCTCAAGTAGAGTGTGGGTTTGAATCCGGGCTTGCATTTTCGAGTTATTCGTGATTTACGTGCGAAATTTAATTTGAAATTCACCATGAAGATGGTTTCCTTCACTTTTTGGTGAAGAAAAACATCGTTAGGAAACCAGAACGTTGAAGAAGATCTACAACCACAGACAATAGATATATTTATTGTCTGTGTCCACAACCCTCGGAAAACGTGTGAAGTTCCCAACCCGCATTGGGACTATGGGTAAAACCCTCGCCTGAGAGGAAACCCGTGCTCAGCAGTGGCACGTATAAATATTGTTCTTGACAGTTTAGCAGCAGTAGGGCTCCTTTTGAAAGAGTTCGTCCAGGGAAGTACTGCTACCTTTCTGCCGCCAAGCAGTAAAGGCGCGTGTCCACACGAAGAAAAGTCGCCGGATCTATGCAACAATTCGTGTCGTTTCTACACACGAACTGTGCACATTGCCCCGGCGCCGGACAAGAGAATATCTTGTCTACCCCCGACACGACGCACTCTGCCGCTATTGTATAAAGCGTGTCAGTAAATGAACGTTTATGCGCGTGGACGGATGTTGTTTAGTATCAGCATATAGAAGAACAGATTTCTTCCTGACTTGACTTATATTCAGTCGGTAGTAAAACGACGGCTACCTGGAAGACTCGGAATGCAATGACACATTTTACCCTACACACGTCTGTCCGAAAGCAGTTGTATCGTGCACATACTCATCATTTTCTCGTCTGTAACAGACAGGACATATTTTCGTGGCTAGATCCGACAAAGTTCTTGTTGTGCACAAGACCATTCTCATCTTTTTTGTAAGTGACACGTCGAATTTCTTAGCGTGTATACGCGCCCTTAGGGTGCTGCTGAAATTATATGCACAAGGGACTTGTCAACTTATATGATAGTCGCAGTGGCAGTGCCCCTCAGATCTATGCGATTTAAAGCTCCGAGTGGCTCTGCAACTGTTATGGACAAGCCTGTAGCTTACCATCAGATGCACAACTTGTTCGTCCCGTCACTTGATAAATATATACGCTTCCACAATAAAATTCCGCTTGACATTCAAAATTTTTATAGTGAAATACAAAAAATAAAAAGTATATAATAAAGTTATAATGTTTATTATACAACACCTTCTGTGTACTAGTTTGACGAAGATCAATGAATCGTTTTATTCTTTTAAGTTGTTCCTATCGAATAAATACTGTAAAAGTAGAATAAGTACTATAAGCACGAAAGTACTAATGCAGTGGACATGCGATCGTTGAGGAAAATTTGTGGACTAAAGTTGAATGATATAGTGAAGAATAAAATAATACGTGAATGATGTAGCTTGAAAGAGGATGTAGTGACTAGAATAGAGAAAGGTATGTTTGGGCATGTAGAGCGGATGGATGTAAGAAGAATTACCAAACAGATTTATGCTAACATGAATGGAAGGATTTTAATAGGTCGTCTCAGAAGGATTTACATTAACCAAATCAGTGATGGCCTGTCGGTTTTTTTAGTCCTCTGCACTGAGATTATAGACCATTAAACATTTTTAGTTTTCTTTAAAATTTTTAAAATGGTTAAATATTTCTTACGTAACTGTCATAAACATGTGTTTTATTTTTAAACGACTTCAAAAAAAGAAGGAGGTTCTCAATTCGACTGTTTGTTTTTTTTTGTACGTACGTTACGCGATAACTCCGGTATTTGTGAATCCATTTTCATGATTCTTTTTTTGTTAGAAAGAGGGTACCTTCATAGTAGTCCCATTTAATTTTGAAGAAAATCATCCTCCTCTAGGGGTGGCTGTTCACGCATGAAGATTCATTTTTATAAATAGCGCCTAAATTTTATTACAAGGAACAATTATTTTAATGGTTGATTTTGCTATTCTCCAATTCAAGGCGTTTTCTCTCTCAATATACTTTCAGTAGGGAGAACCGATTTTTATTATCTCCTGTGGCAATTCCCGTATAGTGGCGAACTAGGGGTTGAATCCGAGTTTGCGCACTTTCCAATAACCGATTTCAATAAAACTTGGTAATTATACGTAATTTCACGTACGTTACTTCACAATAAATTTACAGGCGTCCCGCTCTGAGGGTAAAAAAATATCGGTCACGTTATACTTACAACACATACATACATATTTAAACGATATTTTTAAACTCGTTCTTCATCACCAAACTTAAGAGTTATAACTCTTGTCAGTGGAGCATCTCTCATATAAGCCAGCTCCTTGACCTCTTTATATGGCACGACACCGCCAGTTCCTTTATGTGGTCTATGCAGCTGCGCCTAGGTCGACCTCCTCCCTTTTTTCCCTCTAAAATAGTCTTAAAGAAGTTGTCGTGTCGTATCAAATGTCCAATTAGTTTCCCGCGACTATTCTCTATAGTATTCAGGATCATTTTTTTCTCGTTTGCCATTCTCAATACTTTCTCATTGGTTTTCATTTCCATTCAACTTATCCAACAAAGTCGTTCACACGCAATATAATTCTTTTGGTTCTTCATTTCTTCTGTGCTTGTGGTTCCTACTTAAGTTCTCCTCCTGAACTCTTTGTTTGGACTTTCGTGGTGAGAACAGTAAACAGCTAAACCGCGAGTGTTCTGGTTTTTAGACCTTATGATCTTATGATTATTATTAGACATAGACCTTATGAATTAATATCAAAGTATTTAATAAGTCATATAATATAATACATTTATGAATTCTTATCTTAAAATCTCAATAGATTTGTCGACATTATGATAACTAATAGTATTAATAATTTATGTTTAACATGTAGTAATTTATTTTTATTACGTTATTTAACATATATTTTTGCTAATTAATAAGTAAAGGTCAGTTTTAACTGATTAAAAAAAATAAGCGTGCCCTTGTAGTGGCGTGTATTTTAAGAACAGTGGCAACAATGGTTTGTGGCACTGTGGGCACTGAATGAAGGGACGCAGGGGAACCAAATTGGGAAAGGATATTGTAATACTTTTTTTATGAAATGGACGTGCTCCTGACCATTATCTAACTCTGGAGCAAAGGTAGGATCTCCGATGGAACGAGCTTGCCTATTCAGTCCCACTTTAAAGATACTCGGGTTGTATGAGCTGGCAGGGAATTTCATTCCAGGGCTGTGCGCATAATAAAAGATGATGAAAAGCGCTTAGCACGCCTGATCGACCAAGTAAGGATGATATACCGATGTACGTATGGATGTTCGATGGTAAAAGGGCTTGGAAGAGCTGATGACGCTCATGGGCACACTCACCGAAGTATAAACCACTATAAAGTTTAGATTAGAGCTCGTCGTCGCCAATAAGTCTCCTGGCTCTGCGTTCAATCGAATCAAGAGCCTGAAGTAGATACTACATTCGCACAGGTGACTGTACTCCATGCAAGATCGGAATTTTGATTAGCAACTAAATTAGGTCTGGATGTTCTGGGATTACCCAGAACTAGCCCTGGAATTCCGTTGCTCTGGTATTCATAGTACCTACAGGGAATTGTCTAGTTTAAGACTGGCAAATTAATCTCAAAATTGTATCAAGGAAATGTTATCTTATCGTGTCTTTTTATGATACCATGTAAAGGAGCAAACAAGTCTTGCGTCTGATGTTAAGTGAAATGCCTGTCCATAACAGTTTCAATGCCGGTCAGAGCCCGTAATTTCACCAGCACCCTTACTTACCCTTCAAAACTAGAATGCAATATTGCTCACGTTACTGTTTAGCGGTAGAAATATGTAAGGGGGCAGTGCCCTGGACATATTCTTTCACAAGGATCTCTACTGCTTCTCAAAACCTTCTATCCTTATATAATCTCACCTCCTTCCGCTGCGTTTTTGATATAGATTTGTAGCATCTGAATCCGAAGTTGACATACCACAATGGTTTCACCCACTCGTGTAATATTTTTTACATACGCCCGTTTGTTCTTCTTACTTTTGACCTAAGTCTTTTTTACATGATGTTTAATCTGATTGTCATATACCTTTCCGAATAGAATTTAATTTCCAATCTATAAATTTTACTTCATAACATCCAATCTTCTAAACTGTATGAGCAAATATTTTAAAAGATACCAATAATACCAAGTGACGGGACGAATAAGTCGTGCTCCTGGTGGTAAGCGACACGACTGTCCTTAACAATTACAATGCCGCTCAGAGATTTAAATCACAAAGGTCTGAAGGGTACCGCCACTGCACCTGTCACTTTGAGACATAAGTTCACAAGTCCCATGTGCCAGTAATTTTACCAGCACACTTACCCTTCTACATTGGAATGCAGTAATGCTTACATTTTACGTTTAACCGATCAAGTAATCACTGAAATTCAATTTTTCAGCGTCTGCGATGTTTCCCCTCTTACTGGAAACATGGACTGGATCTGCAGCAGCGACCCTTGCATCATCGATGAAAGGATCCTGGACGAAGTCAACCGAGGTTTTACCACTTGGAAAGCTGCTAACTATTCGGAGTTTTACAACAAAAAGCTGAAAGACGGCATCATTTATAAACTTGGTAAGTCTGGTGGTACCTATTACTTTAGAATAGAGAGAGAAATCTGGCGTCGGCGGACTTAAAGCACACAAGACAAAATCCAACATCATTCATTTCAGTTAATACATCTGCCTCTATGGCCGAACGGTTACCATGCCGGACTGCCACGCAGAGGTCCCAGGTTCGATTCCCGGGCCGGGAGAAATATTTGTATGACCTACATTTGTTTCTCTCGTGAGTTTGGGTGTAATTTGTGGTTGTCTATATGTGTGTACATGGCACCCGCGACACAGGGTTTCCCTAGTGCGGGGCTATGTTGAGTGTGTTATTATTATTATTATCTACTGACTAAAGCATGTAAGTAAAAAATTCCTTTCTTACTTCAATAATTTGTAACTTAAATTCTAGTGGCGTCTTTTTCAAATTTATCATTCTCTTTACGTCTTCCAACATTATAAACAATACATAAAAATATATTATTATGAATTACAAAATGAAGCACTTTTTTGACTTATGGTTTAGTTCGCCGACGCTAGAAATATAGGCTCTAATCTCTCTGTACATTTCGTCCTCTTTAGCACTTTATGAGATGAATTACTCATGCGCCTAGTAGTAGGCCAACACACCTATTCACAACAGTTGCAGTGCCACTCAGAGCCCGTCACCCCGAAATATAAAGTTGACAAGTCCCATGTACCTTTGAATTTAAATTTAAAAGAATCAACAATATCATAATATTAACCTTAGAGCTAAGTCCAAACTCATGGTACCACGATTTCGTTTAACCAAGGTAAACGACTCTTTTATGGGGAACTGTATACGTTTTTACAATAAGATTCCGGAGCATATGTTAAAAGTTTATCATTTCCTAAGTTTAAAAACTACATTAAAAATATTTTGATCGAAAAATCGTATTACAAACTAAAAGACTACGTGTTAGATAAAGATGTATGGAAAGACGACACGGCTCCAGATTCCACACAAATTTGATTCAAAATGTATTCCATAGCATTTAAGTTTATTTTAAAAGAGCAATCCCTAGAGTTTCTTGCTCGTTCTTCTCAGGGAAGTCAGCGTAGTGAACGAGCAGTAGCTTACGTGACGTTTTCAAGTGTAAATCTATTTTACCTATGGAATAAATATATAATAATATAATAATAGATCTTTGACTTTGAATAGAAAAATGATAGAGTAAATGTAAATGAAATAGCAGATACATATATAACGCGCGGGCGAGAGACGGGCGCAGGTCGGGTGCCGCGCCCGCTCGTTGTGTGTTGTCGTACATATAAATACACGGAATTACACCCGTCGCGCTCCCAACCCGACACTTGCCCGATCCGCACCCGCTTTCAGTGTGTCTCACGCTTTACTACTTATAGTAAATAAAATAATAAAATATACCAATATTTTTAAAAATGACAGTAGCTGTTCGTTTGTTATTTTTAATTGAAAATCCGTTATTAATATGACCTACTCTGTGCAAAAACCTGTTCACTTACCAAGAACAAATCTATTAATACAAAAAAGAAACAGAGCTTGTCCACACGTTAGGCCTTGCAAGTGAACGTGAGCATTGGAAAATTTAGACATAAATAATTATTGTATGAACTTATAAGCTAGACCAGTGTTCCATACAACGTAGTTTAATTATATTTTGGGTAAAACTAATTAAAATCTATTAAATTTATGTCATGGTTTATTTATTAAATTTTTAGTTAATAGCAATAGTAAACGAGCTCATAAATTATCCAACTATGTTTCAACTAACACATTGATACAATACTCAGTCGAGCCTTTATAAGCCTAGGCTTTATTAATCGCATTACCAAACCGTTTCAGCAAGTCATAACATTTAAAATTTTATATTAATTCATTTGTTAGATCCATTCTCGATTTTGGAAGCGTGGTTTGGAATCCATTTTACAAAATGTAATATCGATCGAATAGAAAGAGTCCAACGGAAATTAATCAGGATTCTTAATTTTCGTACCTATTGTCCAATTGAACCATACGAATACTCTCTTAGGCGTAATAAATTACTTACCTTACAAAATCGCCGTAAGAAATCTGACATGGTTTTTCTTTACAAAATAGTTAACAATATGGTTGTTTCACCGACTCTGTTATCGCAGGTTAATTTTATAAATAAAGCTCGTTTACCAGCACGCCTCAAACGTAAAATAAAAATTTTCGTACCACCACGACTCCGTAAGAATTATACGAGAAACAGTTATTTTCGTCATTCGTTATCTTTATATAATAATACATTTTGTGACACGGATATGTTTGGTATCTCATTGAACAGATTAAGGTAAGCATCCACAACAAATTATTTAGTAGTAATGATACGGCTGAGCGGCCTAGTCGGGACCGTCTGTATATGAAGCCTTTAGTTGCAGGGTTACATACCGGTTAATTAGTTTTGTTTTAATTTTCTTTAGTTCTAAGTAGTAATTTGTCTAAGCACCTATATGGTTAACCATTCGCATTTTGTATTCTACTTATATATTTAAACCCTTTTAGTACATGTTATTAATATTTAATTGTAGTAATATTCGGTGCTCGTTGTCCATAGTATAGTTCAAATCCCTGTATTAATTCATATTGCAATGACTGTTCGTACAAAAAAAAATAAATTGTAATTTTCAACCACAGAGAGCTCAACTTCATGCTAAGTTTTAAAGACAATAAGGCATTTTCTATGGATTAAAATACAGCATAGCCATAGTGAATTGTGAAATGCGCGATTGCATCGATGCAATCGCCTATAAGAGCGGTTACACACGGCCACATTTAACAGCGATGCAAACGTGATGATATAGCGATGCAGTCGCTAATCGTCTACTTTTACACAACGCGCAAACAACAAACAAACGCGCAATTGCATCTCTGCACTTGGGATTAGGCAATAGCGTCGATGCAGTGGCACGTCTGTATGGATGCAGTTGCGCGATTGCATACATACAATCGCCTATAAATCCCAAGTGAAGCGACGCAATCGCGCGTTTGTATCGATGCAGTTGCGCGCTTGAATCTCGTTTGCATTGCTGCTAAGTCGCCGTATGTAACCGCTCTAAGGATTGTATTCCAGAACATACACAGATTCGAAATCATACTCAAGACCCTGCCATTAGGGTCGTACTTCCAGTGCTTTAAATCATACTCAGATCCTGACTTGAGCATTGAGAAGAGTTTTAGAGTCAATACACTCAATGGACTTAGCCTTAGACTCAACTTTTCAGAAGAAGCAACAAAGTTTTCTTTTTCAGAAAATCTCTTTATTCTTTCATTATCTATAACTTTTGATATTTCTAAGAAAAATCCAATAATAATAGTATTTATTCTCTACAAATACTCCTATCATTCTTCCGTTATTGTCAACAACATATAATTTACTTTGTCACTCAGTCGGTCGAGTGAGTCAGTGACGCGAATCCACAACACAACACAATTTTTATTTCATCAAAAACTAGCAACCCACTAGACGTCAATTTAGTCATTATCATTAACGCTTTTATACGCCCGACTGCTGAGCACGAGTCTCCTCCTAGGGTTCAGGCCGTTTACACGTTTTCCGAGTGATGTCAACCTTCTTCGACGTATAGGTTTCATCATGATATTTCCTTCACCGAAATGCTTATGGTAAAATTCAAATTTTATTTCGAACATAATTTCGGAGATTTAGAGGTGCGATCCTGGATTCGAACCCACGGCGTCTGCTTGAGAGAAGGCAAGTCGAACCATTATTCTATCACTGTCATTCAGTTTAGTATCTCTAATTAAACAACCATCTAGGTTGAAGCAATTTAGTCTCTGTACGCTGCAGTCACGGCGTGTCGTTAATGATAGTTATGCAAAATGGGACGCATGTGAACTGTTTAGCCACTTCTCTTTGAGGATTGGAAGTAAACGTACACAAAGAATTTTTAATGTGCCATGTTGTAAGTACTAATAACGTTACCTACAATGATCCTCTATTGAATAGAGTCTATTCCGTATGTATCGAGTCTATAATGAAATTAACTAGGACAGGGGTTTAGACATATGTTTTCAAAATGAAGCCGCATTTTGAAAATCTTGCAATCTTAAGATAACGCAATAGTAATTTTTAGACCCTTACTTTCGTTTCGTTAATTTTGAATTGAATGAATCATAATGTTATATAAATATTTTTTTAGCTGTGTTCAATAATATGACAAAGCTGTACGTAGCTATCAACGGAATGCAAATTTGTTCTCAGTTTAATTTAGCAATATAAATTTGTATTCTGTAACTGTGGCAATAAATATATAAATAAATAAATCTATAATCGGATTATATCATGTACGTACATAAATTTACAGAGCCCATAAAATCCAGTTGCCACTTCTTTCTCCATAAAAGCCTTATTTTTTACGACAGCTATTAGCAAATGTTGTATTCATTTATAATTATAGTCAGATAGATTTATTGTGCCCTGTCAAAAAAAAGTTTTAGAGTCTCATTCAAGTTTCTTAACATTTTTACTGCTACAATGGACATTGTTTATACAGCCCATAAATTTAAAATGGCGGACTTCGATATAAAATCGTGATTCAATCATATTTCAACCACTCCTGGGGGCTAATTCTCGTTTAATAGAGATTAGTGAGAAAAATTACGAATATCGATCGAACAGTTTTGGTGTAATAGATTGCAATGAATATTATGATCTTTTACTATCATGATATTAATTTACGCTTTGTGAAATTACTCCTAGTTTGTTATAATTATTAATACAAAGATCGAACACTCAGAAAAAACACTCAGAAAAAACACTCAGAAAAAATTCCTTCGATCCGGTCGGATTCGAACCGACGTCTTCTTGCATACCGTGGCAGACTCTATACCAACTAAGCCACGGAACGAACCAACGGACCTCACGAATTTCTCTATGTGCTTGCGTCGTGTCTTTGTACTTGGTCTTTCAACGACTTTTTAGTCGTAGCGCCATCTATGAGAAATCTATGACAAATTTATCACCCAGTTAGTACCTTTACAGCACACTATTGATTTAAGTAATATATTATTTAATTAATACTCCTAGTTTGTTATAATTATTAATACAAAGATCGAAAATTTTTTTTTTATAATACCGAATGACGGGACGAACAAGGCGTACGCCTGGTGGTAAGAGACACGTCTATCCATAGCAGTTGCAGTGCCACTCCGAGCTATAAATCGCAAAGATCTTACCCTCAAGATCAAATCTATAAATTTTTCTTGCTAACATCCAATCTTCCAAGCTGTATGAGCAAATATTTTTTACGACACCGGTTGTGATGGGACGAACAAGTCGTGCCATTGATGGTAAGCGACACGCCTGTCCGTAACAATTGCAATGCAGCTCAGAGTTTTAAATCACAAAAATCTGAAAGGCACTGGCACTGTCATAAGTTGACAAGTCTCATGAGTACGTCTCGTAAGTACGGTGACAGTACTTCTTCGGACGAACTCTTTCACAAGAAATTCTTCTGCTACCAAGAGCCCTGTCAGATCGAAGGAGTTTTTCTTTGAGTTCGATTTTTACACTAATTAATTAGTTTGTAGTTTTGGTTTTCTCAGAATCTGACGATGGCACAAGGCGCTCTTTATTGTTACTAGTTTTCGGACGCAGTAGATACCCGGTATTGCGGACAAAAACGTATGGTAGTTCTTCTTCTGCTTCTTTTATATGTTATGGCTCCATCGAAATAATCGATGGTATTTACCAATGTCAAGTTGGGGAACGTACGCGTTTTAACTTAAAAATTTACCGGTGAATTTCGACAGAATTCACTAAGAGGAGAATCTACACATCTACAACATATATCTTTCTAATTTGTAACACCAAGACAAATAGTATGACAAAATTTTGACACAAATGTGACTTTTGACATTATATATTTTAGACATTATTTTGATACAGGAATGGACGAAATACTGGACATTGGCGAAATCGCCATTTTTTTTGTATAATTTTTATAATAATACTAAACTACCGTACATAGTTATTTTTACTTAACATTGGCAAAATCATTGATTATTTCGATGGGGCCATAACATTTAAAAGAAGAAGAAGATACAGGAATGACATAATGACGCTTTCCGTTACATTCAGTTATTTCTCAGACGTGTCAGATGTTGGTGTTAAAGTGTTTTTTTTAATCGTATGTCGATTACAATCGATAAAAATGAATTTTGATAGACATTTCAAATCTTTGGATTTGTCATCTCTATTGATACAGAGAATATGATTTTTTGTAACATAGTCTGTTTTCTGAAGTCATTTTGCATTTATTTCATTGTTTCGAGATTGACAACTTGTCGCACCGTACGAGAATCGGTTCGCTGGTCATTTGTATGCGCCAAGAGTCATTTATTCATAATTTTGAAGATTGGCCTTCGAATTTGAATTGTTTAGTCTATAGTAGGTGACGAATAATTTGGTGTTATACTTAATGACGGGTACAGTCATGGTACAGTAGAGGCGTCTGTTGTTGAGTTAGTTTTGTGATTATTGATTGTTTTATCATTTAATAATGGATTTGCTTTTTTTGGTTCGATTATAAAAGACGTGTTATTTATTTTCTAGAATAGTATGAAATCGAAATTAATTGGAGTCTAAATTTATTACATACAGGGTAAAAAATAGAAACGAATAGAAATTTATACGATGAATCCACCCATACAACTCAACAATCTTTTTTCCCTACAATTTTAAGACACAAACTTCTAATCAGGCAATTTAGATCAAAATGATAGTTCAATTCATTTTTTGCAAATGGCTTCTTTAGGGAAAGCTCCGCGATATCGTGATTACGTGCTTACGTACCAATCTAGAAAAGTTAATTGCCTAAATCCTACCGGTAATCAAACCCGGGACGTCATCGATCGATAGAGAAAGAACTACAAACTCACACTGAGTATTTTGAAACTTGATGTTCAATGCAAACTTTCAAGGTTTGGTCTCACTACTTTTTTTAAGAATTCTGTACAGCCAAGGACCATTTCCATCCGATGTTCAAAAAGATCAGGCGATTATCATCTATAATTAGCTTGTCATAGAGTCCCACTCTTGGGCAAAGACGTATTAATTATCCCCAATTAACTGGAAAATTATTTGCAGGTACCCTACCGCTAAGCGCCGAGACCCTACGAATGTACCCCATTCGTTACAATAAAGATATCGAGTACCCTCGCCACTTCGACTCGAGGACTCGTTGGCCTGGATTAATATCACCCATAGTTGATCAAGCCTGGTGCGGCTCTGATTGGGCTGTATCCATTGCTGGTGTAGCATCTGACCGGTATGTGTGATTCCTTTTCGGTTACGCAATCATGTGTATAATTGCTGATTAGGATTACCTCTCTTGTTATGCTTTTTATATCTTCAAAATTACGCTATTTAACTTTACTGTATCACAGGATGAAACAGTGAGCTGAATGCTCTTAGCACCTAAATTTCTGCCCTGATCAGGTTGGCTTGTACCTCAGTTCAGGACACTTGCTTGATCTTCCATATTATACTGATAACTTGCGGTGATTGTTCCGGATTTACCATTTCACCAAATAACACTGGCCCGAGTGGGTTGGGAAATTCTCACTTTAAAAACTGCAACGTGCTGGTTTTCTTAGTTTTTCGTTAGACTGTTAAAGCCAGTGTTTTGGTGTCATTGTTTATTGGTGAACTTGCGCGGGCTATCAAACCCGCCTCTTAACATCACAATTGCCTCACTTCTTGGTGAAGCTTTCATGACGATGATAACATTGTCTTTTGTTTTCAGCTTCGCCATCCAATCCAACGGTATAGAAAACATGGTGCTAAGTCCCCAGACCCTGGTTTCGTGCAACACTCGAGGTCAGCAAAGCTGTGATGGTGGACACATTGATATTGCTTGGAACTTCGCTAGAACTCACGGGTAAAATCAAAACAAATTTGAACATTCCTGACAGATGTTTTCTGATCACATCAAACCATTAATTTGGCTTTGATTAGTGTTTATTATTTTGAAAGAATATTGTACAACAGCGTTAGTTCTTTGAGTAAGGGTTATTTCAGTCGCAATTTAACATTTCAAAATTCAGTAAAAAATACTGGTAATCAGTCAGTTTCAAAACATTGACTGTACTCTATCTAACTCGCTACTAATAATAATGCTGAGGCGTAAATTGTATGACGTAACCCAAATTTTGGGTAACTTTAACATTCCCATCTCTTCCTATAGATTAGTAGACGAAGCCTGCTTCCCCTACAAAGCCGCCAAGACACCATGTCCCTTCAAGCGCCGCGGTGATCTCATTCAAGATGGCTGCCGTCCGGTAGTGGCGAAACGATTTTCGCGGTACAAAGTTGGAACTCCTGGTCTTCTACAGAATGAGAGGGATATCATGTATGACATTATAGAGTCAGGACCTGTTCAAGGTAAGTAGAGCCACAATTTTTTACTTTGGTCGAAGAGTGTTATTACAATGAAAATAAAAAGTGTCATATCAAATAATCTTAATGCAGAATATTATGATCCGTGAACAATGTGGTTTGAAAGAGAATGTTGTGACAAAAATAGAAAAGGGTATGCTGAGGTGGTATGAATAATAAATAAATAACGCACACACTCAACATATGTACATTGACGAAAGAAATATATAGAGCTAGAGATGACGGGATCATTGGAAGAGAACGGCTACGAAGAATATTCTCAGATCAAATTGAGATGGTGATCAGATAGATTTTAAGACTTGAGGTCGCCCCTCGCGTGTCTCAATTTGTGCGTTGTAAATTAATAAGGTAAATAGATGGAGAAAAGTCGACACGAAAGTCGTTAATCCGCTGAACAATTTGTAAATTTTTGGGATAATTGTAAATTTAATAACTTAGGACTTAAGTAATTTTTGGGATAATTGTAAATTTAATAACGTAGGACTTAAGTTTTGCAGGTATTTGTAGTACTTCAAGAGAAATATCTACATATAAAAATTATGTACAAAGTTAGATATTTTATTCTTAAATAATTTGTTTTAGACTTTTATTGTAGCCTGTTTTCAGGATTTTCTACGATCGGATAAAGTATCCTATCGTGCAACAAAATAGCACATTCTTCGGACAATATCCTTAGGTGTCTCGTATATTTTTTTGTAAGACCGTTATTTAATAGAAAATACCTATTTGACCAAGCAAAACAGTTTTCCCCCGCGTCTCCTCTGATGACACGCCTTATAAAGGCTGGAGTGCGGATTGAGAAGAATAAGAGGGCATGTAGGATAAGATTAATGAATATAAGTGAAGCAAGAGAGGCTTGTAAGGATTGTGCTAAGTGAGCGACAAGCGATCGATGGTCTCTGCCAACCACAATGGGAATATACATGGATGTAAGCAAAATAAAAATTTTGCGTTGTACATTCTATAAAACCATAGGGTATCTAGAAAAACATGTGTTTTCATATAAGACTAAGGGTATACTTGCTGGGCCTAAAGCATGTATATATTTAGAACATTTTAATGTAGGTACTTCTACAGTAGTCTGCTGGGACTTAAGAAGTTTAATCAACTAAATAAAAAGTCTACTAAATAACAATGTCTTTTCAGCTATAATGACAGTTCGTCAGGACTTCTTCCACTACCGTCAAGGCGTCTATCGCCACACGAACATTGGTGACACCACGCTCCAGGGGCTTCACAGTGTCAGAATCATTGGCTGGGGTGATGACAATGGACTTCCTTACTGGGTATGAATTGATGATTTCATCAATTACATTATTTATTACTAATTGACTGTACATGGAATGCGTTGCAATCAGAAACGGGTAAGCATCCGGGTGTTAAAATTGGGTTAAAATATATAGGGTCCATTAATGCTCGAAATCGAGGACAAAAACTATTTACAACTAAATATTTGTTATAAGCCGAGAGTTGTTCAAATTTAATGATATTATCACAAAATGCTTCTATAATCGGTTCGCTGGAAAATCGCATTGAAATAAATCAATACAAAAAATCGTTAGAATCATCAATAATCATAACGTGCATCGTTAGCAGTGAGAATTCACAGGATTGCAATGTAGTATTGTGTAGAGTTACCTCGTTTTCTTCTAAAAAAGATAAGTATGGAATTAAGTATACCAAATCCCGTATTCTATCGGTTAAAACCCAGCATTTTGGGCGTTTTGATTGGGTTAACCCACTGCACATCTCTGGTTGCAATGCCACTGAAAACAATAAGATCTATCTCTTCAGAAACTTTTGCGGACATGTATACAATAACTCACGAAACTTTTATCGCTATTAGATGAATAATAACGATTATATCGTCACACAGTATCTTTAGAGGAGACGCGTTGCGTCTGGACTCGAAACAAAGTCTGTATGCATAACCGGGGCTACCGCTTTTCCTACTGAACTGCAGGATCAGTAGATCTTACAAATTTCTCCATGTTCTTGTTGTGGATCTTTGTATTGAATTTAGACAGTTTTTTTTTGTTGTAGTGTCACCTGTAATAACTTATGACAGTTTCTTTAATCATCCAGGTACCTTTAGTACGTTTGCGCCGCACGGCACTCGATTCTTATTCGTTCTGATCCGAGACTATAAAAATCTCGAAATTTCGGACTCACTTCGAATATAGCTTGTTCACCTAGAGATACAATGATCCCTGGGACATTTTGGACACCGCCTCACACATAAGGTGACAAGTCTAATATGCCTGTGATTTCACCACCATATATTTTTGTGGTGTTATTTTCATAAACATATTTGAATATCTAGGCAGTAATCATATTATTCGTTACACATAAATATTGCTTAGGGAAGTCTATTATATAAAATGCCTTGATAACATTGTTTCATTTCCAATTATTCTTTCTCTTCAGATCGTGGCCAATAGCTGGGGACCTCAATGGGGCGAGAACGGTTTCTTCCGCATCGCTCGAGGAACTAACGAGTCCGGGATTGAGTCTTTTGTCGTCACCGTGCTTGCTGAAGTCACCGAAGCATAATGACTCTATTAAAAAAGCCAGACATGTCCCCAAAAATCCGGACACACAAATCGAAACGTGTATTACACCTGTTACAGCGAGATAGATTTTAAAAGGCTTTCGTGGTTATTCACTCAACGATTAATACTAATTACAGGTTTCACACTATGATACGATTGGTAACCGAGATGAAGTTAGTCGTCGATTAACTCGTGTCTACGGAGCATGTAACTGTTCCGAAATATCGGGAAAATAAAAAACTCATATCGTCGTAAGAAACCTGTAATAATTATGTTAGAGCGATGCCACGCGTGGCGTCGGTGTTCCGACTCTTGCGCGATGACGTGGCGTTGTATTACATAAATATAAGCGATGCCACACGGGCGTCGCGTTGTCGCAACGTTATGAATTCAACGCACCGAGTGCCACACAAGTTAGTGTGAGGTCAGACTTGAGAGTTCAGAGGTTGGTTCATTCGGTTTTATATAAAAGTACGGTTTGTTTCACACGACGACGCAATATGAGTTATCTGCCGATTCAAGGGCGTAATGACGACTGACTTTCGGTCACATCGTGTGACGGGCTGGCGCGGGTGGAGATAGGGGTGAGGGAAGAGGTCACTTTGGTATAAACGCTTAAAAGCAACTGAATAAAATACGTTCGTCTGGCGCTACCGAAATTCGGTCGACCGCAAACTACGCAACTCAAAAAATTGTGCTCGTCTGGCCTCACTCTAACGCGGTGTCGCAGCATTGAGTCGGGTGTGTTAGTACTCTGCTGTCGCACCGCAATACCCCTCCCCGCTTCGTCTCCTGGCCCCTTGTCCGATGCGCACGTGTTCCGTCGCCGCGCGCTTTTTCAACGCACAAAGACAAAGTTTTCATTACAAAGATTTGCACGCAACGCCCCTGTGGCATCTCCCTGAACAAGATCTATATGCCACATGGTGCGTTGAATGCGTGCGCGTCAGACAAGGGGCCGGGAGACGAAGCGGAGAGCGGTACTGCGATGCGTAAGTAAGCGGCGTTATATTGCAACAACACATTGCTCGATGCGTTCAAATCATAGCGTTGCGAAGACAATGCACCGGTAACGCCATGTGGTATCGTTCTTTCATAAAAAAGCTGGCGAAAGTTTAAAAATATTTCGTAATTATTTAAGAGCTTCACAAAACTGCTTGGCAATTTCAAGGTACGGGGAAGATGACCTAAGTTACTCTTAAATTTTTACCCAGTCTCATACAATTTTGCACATTTAATGTAACAGTGGTAAGTTACAAGCTATTTTCATCATTAAACGCTTTGATTTGTCGAAGATTCTGGTGAAAGAGTAGAGAGTTGACATTTTAATATTAATAAAAACAGAACCGTACAGTCAATTAATTAAGCTAGGTTATCAAAAGATCTGTAATGTAAAAAGACACGTGCATTCATATGTATATTGAAATCAAATAGGTGGTATTTTTATTGTAATGCAATCTCTTCCAAATGTAATTGGGGGTGAAAAGATAAACTTAACAAATACTGTGTAGTTAGTTACGTAAGGTCAAATTCAATCGTCATTATCTATTAAATATTTGCAAATGAGTGTTCTACAGTTTTAATGGATACGTTCTTCGAAAATTTAATTTTAATATCGATTTATATATACATATTAATGAACGTGACTGTAGTCGTGTAACAGGGTGAAATTTAATTCACCTGAGAAAATTTTAAAAACGTGGTTAACAATATCAACTGTTAATATACAAATCCTGCTGACAAGCTGATTCTTGTTCTCCACTCAAAAAGGGGCCCTAAAATGATCGCACGGATTACAGATAAATATCCTAAGTTTTCTCTGGTGAATTATATTTTATGGTGTCGTTAGTGTATTATTAAAAAATAACATATTAAACTAGGCAGTATATATTATGTAAGAACCGTGCAAGTAACTTAATATAGAACACAGAGTAATGTTGTAATATTATTACAACATATAACATTAAACTCGGTTAATATCGTCCATCGCCTCACTAACTACCGTGTCTGATATTTGTGTCTTTACTGAGTAACTACAATCTTATTCAGCATTCAAAAGTGAACTTATAACCTAAGAGCTATTGTGATTGCTATTACTAGTACGTTGATGAAAAGGATGGAGGCTTAGCATAGTGCTATTTTTCAGTCTCGGCCTGTGTTCTCTAATATGGGTATAGCTCTGTTGAACGAAATTAAGTGAGCTAGAACGACGATATCGGCTGGTGTTCGTGATCGCAACAATTTCAGAAAAAAAAATCCGTGGGGAAATTACAGTGTTCTATAGAAATTTCCGATCAATTAAAATGTCGCTTCATTATAACTGTCACATTTTTTGTTGCATCCTGTATATACAATGATGAGTATTTTTACTACAAAAGCTTCTGCTTATCCGCTAGTGCCATATAAGATTTATAGTTTTTTTCATTGTTTTGTTTTTAAATGTAGAAATCTTTAAGAATTAGTATTTATTTTAAATAAATATAATTTTAATAAAGTTTTTGTTTTAATTTTTTTTGTTGTATAATGTTTTTAGGTATATTAAAATTAATTTAGGATTTTTTATAAACACACTACACCTGCCGCAATGAACAGAATACGTTTATTTGACAGAATATAGCCGTTAACAGGTTGTATATAAGTACAATTAGTTCCAAGTCTTCTCTGGAACATATTGAAACTTTTTTATGATACCAAATGATGGGACGAGCAGGTCGTGCGCTTGGCGGTAAACATGGAGTATATGACCAGAAATAGAGAGGAAATAAGAGCCCTCCACCCCTGGCAACTCATCAGGTAAATGGGTATTATATCTCTTTTAAATATCAACTCTCGTTTGCGCTGAAATCACAAATTAGTAAACTGAAATAGTACAACGCCAACAACTGACTCTTCGTATATTCCAAAAATATTCTGTATTTATCGTAATAAAGATAATTTCTCTAACAATGTGGGGGCTGTTCTATTCGGTGGTGTGGGAAAAACATCTATTTACAAAACAAACGGAATCACATTTCGTCGGTAAATAAATATTAAATATGTAATTTTGCAATGTTCGTCCATTATCAAGTTAAACTGATCGATTTGAAGTGAAACAATTGACGACATCCGTCAATTGTTTCGAATTCGGGCTGGCCAATGTAATGATTTGGCAAAATAGTTTTCAAACAAATTAAATGACATTTCGTCTCTATTTCTGGTTCTATACTCGATGGCGGCAAATGACACGTCTATCCACGAAGATCTTAGGGGCACTGCCACTGCGCCCGTCGCCTTGAGACATAAATTGACAAGTCCCATGTGCCTGTAATTTCACCTGCACCGTTACCTTTCCGAACCTCTACCGCTACTATATAGTAAAGTTTAAATTACTTTGACTTTTGACTATAAATCCATAGTGTTAATAACAAAACGACTTAAAAAGTTAGTGTTAGTAACAACTGGGAAAGTACGTCTTAATATTTATTAATGAGATTCCCTTCTAGAAAGACTCGAGGCGCAGCTACCGGCTTGGAGCCGTATGCAGTTGCACCCAGCGCCTCACGACGAGAGTCACATCTAGCGGCAAGGGTGCTAAGGATGCCGTTCGTGCTGCCTCGTAGCCGAGTCACGAGTGAAGCACAACCCTTTCATATAATTGAATAAAGGCAATCTGTACGAGCCTCAGCAAACATAGTAGAGGCACTACAGTAACGTGGCAACTTAAATACCACCCTGAAAGCATTATTACATTGGACGCGCATTGCGGTGTATGCACGCTGCGTAAAGTTGACCCACGGGCTACACGTTTAGAAGGACTGGCAATATGCTTTGAAAAGCAAAACCTTAACCTGGTCGCTACTACGTGCAAACCTCCGTGCCTACATATTACACCGCACAGACAGCGCCCTGTGCTCCCGCTCTATATCTAAATCATCATTTAGATCATCAGTGATTCTATGCCCCAGATGTTTAAACCGTTCCACTTTTTGTAAGGGAACATCAGCAAGTTTAATTGGAGGCCCAACAGAATACGATTTAGTGCCTGCCTTGAAAATCATAAGCTCGCTCTTTTTTGCGTTGTACCTAAGTCTATGGGTCTCTGTATACAACTCACATATACGCAACAATCGCCGGAGGGCACTAATCGAAGGGCTCAGTAGCACCATATCATCGGCATATTATTTATACAGACTCTATCGATATGGCAACCAATACCCGTGTCACTGAGCCCTCCGATGAGACGGTTCATATACAGATTGAAAAGGCGCGGTGAAATCAAACCCCTCCTTTCTAACCCCACATTCCAACCTGTATACTTCCGAGTGCGTACCTGCCCACTTGACAGTGTTCTTCTGATTGCTGTACCATTAGCCCAGCATAGACACAACTTCTTTGGACACTTTGGTATCACAATGCAGTTTTCGCCATAAGGTGTTATATGACACTAAATCGAATGCCTTAGAAAGGTCCAAAAAGCATGCGTACACTGGCGTTATTCTGGACAGTCTGTTTGAGGCATAGGACAGCGCTTTCAGTGGATAGACGAGCTCTGAAACCGAACTGGGCATCATAGGCATTATGTTAACAGTCCAGTATTATCAAGATTTCATTATGTTTATCATTATGATAGTGTGAGTTTTGGCGACAGCGGTTCTAATAGTAATCGAATCTTAGGGCCCTTCCATTGTTTTTTTTTCTTTCGTGACAAATAGGCAACATGACATTGGGGAAACCCGCCCGTTCTACTACACCATACGTAACCGAAATAAAGGGCACGGGGACGGTATTTTGTTGAAGCTGTTTTAACGAAAAAGTACGTAAATCTAATTAATTTACTCAGTCTTCCGCTTCGTTTACATCTTTTCTTACTATGTTGTGTTTAAGCCCATTAACATGGTCTGATTTGAACAAAACAAAATAATCTAAACGTTAGTTTTTCATTTGGTGGCCAGACGAAAGTTTTTTTCGGCCATACACCGATTTGGAAGTTATTTATTTTCATGGCCGACTTTCATAAACAAACCGAACTTT